GGAGAGCAATTTTATTTCCATCTCAGTCTCCTTCAGCTTTGTGACCCTGAGACTTCTGTGTCTGGGCCCCTTCTTCCCTGCTCCAGGATTCAGCTTCAGTCTTGAGGTCTCTGTCTCCGTCCCTAACTGCCCCTCGTTCCTCAGTCTCCCTGCCTCCTCTGTCCTCACAGGTAGAGCTCACACTGTCTTCCCCCAGGACCTGGAAGAAGAATGGGCCTTTTGTTTGTCCCTACTTGGGAGAGGGACAGCAGGTGGCACGGAATGTAAAACACCCTGCGTTACACAGGGCAGGGCTTAGCAGAAAAGCTCACCAGCCACCAGTCGCCAGCAGGCAAAGGGATGGTTCTGTGGCAATGCAGGCCTGGGTGTGTCCCGGGTCCATCCCCAGCAGATCATGGATAAATATCAGCAATGCAGAGGGTGACAAACTCTGCCCTCAGAGTCCAGGCTGGACAGGATCCTATCTATCTGCTCCTGGAATGGTGAGGGAGTCACCAGATCTCTTTTCCCGCAGGTGTGGACATGGGGACCACAGCAGAAGTCCTCTGGCTCTGTTTCCTGGGATGCATCATCCACACAGCAGCAGGTATCTGAGTTCTGGGTGTATGCTAGCCTGTGGGCACCCAAAATGTGTCACCCTAGCCCCCTCATAGGATCCCTGGGGGTCTGCATGGCACCAGGGTAGAAACACAGCTTCTGCAGAGACAGCAACTAGAATCAGAGGCCTCCTCTGCTACTTCTTACCCGGGCAAAGCCCTTAATGTCTCTGTACCCAGTTTCCCCACCTTCAGTGGTACTCTGAAAGCAGGCTAGATACTACAGTATAAAGGACCGTCTTCCCCAGACTCTGGGACATAGGCAATTGTCCAAATGTTAGCTGTAATGAGCATGGGACAGTACTTTGCATGGGCCTCCTGCCTCAGCTGGCTGAGAAGTGTGGCAGCTGCTTCCTTCCCTGTGAAGGTCACCCCTCCTGTACCCCTGGACAACATGGCCCTACAGAGGGCTTCAATCTAGGCAGGGTAGGAAGTTCCCCAAAGGACTGTTCTTTGCACCCTGCTATACACTCTGTGAGTCCAGCAGACAGAATCCCAGACACGGTTGCCTCTGTCTTCTGCCCTGCACAGAGGCTCCTCCTGGGGGATGATTTCTGTGTGGTGACACTGGGTCTATGCCACTGGGGTGGTGGAGCACAGTATGAAGCCTCAGACTCAGAGGAGGTGTCTGGCCTTGGATTTGTTCTGCTTGAGCTCTAGAGGCAGAACCTCAACCTTGCCCCTCCTTGGCACTCCTGATATAACCTGTGCCTTCCTAACCATGATCACACGAACCCTATGGGATCCATTATCAGATCCATTACCGAATCCCGTCCACCCACCCAATGCATCCACTCTGTGCTCATTCTGCCCACAGAAGCAGAGATTCCTCTAAAAAGAACTGGCAATCACTTCGCAAATGAGTTCCCAGTGCTCATCAAACGCATCTCTGGTGGCTTGCCTTGCATTCCACACTCCCAGCCCTGGATAGCCGCACTGTTTGACGATCATGATGCATACTGTGCTGGAGTTCTGGTGCATCCACAGTGGGTGCTGTCAGCTGCACACTGCTGGAACACGTAAGCAAGTGCAGTAGAGGTTACTGCGGGGATGTGGAGACAGTGTGATGGACTGGGATGGGTGGGGTGTTGCTTCTCTTGGGCAGGCACTGTAGGCAGGGCTTAGGATCTGACATTGCACTACAGTGAGAGGCAGGGCCCAGGCTGGGTTTGAGCAGAGAGAGTGAGTGTTGGCCCACAGTGGGGTTCCAACACTGCAGAAGGTCTGGGCCAGGGAGTGAACCCCAGCCCCAGAGGCTGGACATGACCAGGGATGAGACTTTGAGACACTAGGCCTGGAACAAGCCCAGCACTAGAGTCAAAAGGGAGGCCTGGTTGGGAGATCCACTTCCCCAGGCTGGAGGAACATTTACATCTCTTTGTTGGGTCTGAATCCTGCATGTGGGAAGAGAAACAATGCAGGGCCCTGCGGTTGACCCAAGTACGAAAGTTCAGAGGAGGAGGTGGCTTGAGAGACGCGGGCTTGGATCTCAGTTCAGCTTCTCGGTGGCAGGTGGTGTGGACAAGGGAACTCTTGTCACAGCGTGTAAGGGGTCTGGGACAAGGCGAGGAAGACAGCCGAGGACAAAGCCAGGTGGATGGGGACCGAGTTATGCACTTGGCTGCAGGACAGGTTATAGGGAAAGACGAGGCAAAAACTCCCACATTGGGAGAAATATCTTAATGTTTTATTTTAAACAAATTAATAGTAATGCAAACATCCATGATGAACAAAATATCCACATGTGAAATAAACAGGATCCTGCTGGTGTGGGGCTAGGGCAAAGTGCATCTCAAATGCTGTCTTCCCTTCAATTTCTGATATTTTCCACATCGTGGACTTTTTGCATTAATTTTGAATTTAAAAATATTACACTGAACCACTATTGATCTTGCTTCTTCTACATTACTGGCTTCCCCAATTAATACCTTAGACAATGCTTCTCCTACCCTAATCCTTATAGTCAGGTTCTGGGGCTAAGCTGGCAGTGGGCAGTGGGATGGGATTTGGACACTGTCCAAGTGAGGATGAGGCTGGCACCAGGGATGGGTCTGGGCATGGTGGAGGCAGGAATGGCAATGGGGATGGGACTGAGGTTGAGGGTGAGTGAGGGCATGAGGCTAGGATTGGATTTGGACCTGCATTGGAGTTTTGGCTTCTAGAGATGATGTAATTATTATGGTACTGACTATCCCATCACCCTCAGGTCCTACACCATTGGGCTGGGCCTCCATGGACTTTTTGATTGGTTTGAATCAAGCAGCCAAATCATAGAGGCCAATTTCTCCGTGAAACACCCACAGTACATCACACCTTCAAATGGTAATGACCTCATGCTCATCAAGTTGAACAGACCAGTTGTCGAATCAGACACCATCCGGACCATCCGCATCGCGTCCCGATGTCCGAGACCTGGAACCAGGTGCCGGATCTCTGGCTGGGGTCAGCTCTTGAATGGTGAGTTTTGCTGTTCCTGTCTCTGTAGTCACTGATACCTGTGCTGTCTCTGCCCAGGAGTCTTTCTGACCCTGTATCCTTCCTTTCAGGCTACTACCCTTCGGATCTGCAGTGTGCTATTATTCCAGTGGTTTCGAAGCAGTATTGCAAATATGTGCTTCGTTCAAAGTACCATGACAGTATGTTCTGCGCTGGTACTCAGGGCTACAAGGACGCATGCCCGGTAAGAGACTGGAACAGGGAGGAGGTGGGTATAAAACCCAATCAGGACACAAGGTCATACAGGAATAAGGGAGACTCTGAGGGCCATGGGGGATGCAAGTACAAAGAGAAACAGAGAGAAGAAACTGGAAGGGGGAGAAAAAAACAAGGAGAAACAGGGTAAAGCAACAAGAGAGATGGGCAAGGAAAGCCAGGGAGAAGTAAGAAACCAGCAGAGAGACACAGAGTCATGACGTTGAGAGGAAGGGTACAGAGACACCCGGGGAGCGACACCGGGAGGGACACCAGGAGGGTCCAGGGAGAAGGAACACTGCTGTAAGAACAGACTGGTTGACTGCATTCAGGATTCTCAGCCTCACAACCAAGCATAACTCCATCTTCAACTCCAATGGCTCCTGAGCCCCCAACTCCACTCCCAATATCACCCTCCAATTCACCCTCAGCCAAGGCTGGAAAAGGAGATGCAGGCGGGGGTGGAACTCCTTTCCAGAACCTTCCAAGGTATGGGAGGGAGAGCTGGTGTTTGAGAGGCAGGACTGTCCCTGCCTGCCTACAAGCTACGGTTTGAGTGCTTGGTTTTTTCCATGGCGGATCCCTCCATTTTGGCTGTTGGGTCTCTGCGTTTGCACTGTCTTGGGTCCTCATCAGGGTCTCAGTTTGTCTCCCCATCACCTTTGCCTCTTGCATTCCATGTGTCTCTGGGCCTGCTGTCTCTGTCTCCCCTGCTTCTGTCTCCAGCTCTTGCTGCTGCCCTCCAGCTCCTGCAGTGTGTGTTTCTGCCCTGCTCTCTTTCTCTGCCTTTGCCTCTTTGTGCTTCTGGTTTCCCATGTGTGTCTCCCTCCATCCTCCTCTCCACCTGCCCTAACTTGATCTTTTCTTCCCTCAACAGGCAGACTCTGGAGGCCCTGTGGTCTGCAATGGGGTCCTGCAGGGCCTTGTGTCCTTTGGATTCAAACCCTGTGGCCAACCTGGAGTTCCAAGCGTCTACACCAACCTCTGCAAATTCAAAGACTGGATAAATGAAATCATCAGGACCAGATAACCACGGAAGATGTTGGGACCAAGTAGCCAACACTGACCTCCGAACCTGTCCTTAGGCTCCATCTATCATAAAGAGCTATTGTATTTCACTGAATCTGCAATACAGTGTATTGAGATGAAATATGCATCCTTTCTTGTTTAACTTTATTAAGACTGAAAGTGGAGTTTCCAAGTGTCAAATAGTGTTACTGATTTTAAGATATTATGACATCTTTGTGTTCCTGGGACATCTGCTACATGGTAGGGATACCAATGTACTTGCCCTTAATTACCATGGCAAACAGCTGCCTAGGGACAAGTTCTGTGCCTGAAGTTGTGGAATTCAGAATGGCTGCAGTGATGCTTCAGGGTCCAGGGCAGATAGAACCTAGGCTTCTCACTCTCAACCTCACCTGAATAACTGAGAATCTAAGGTTGAACCACTGGCAGGTAGGTATAAAGTGGTTGAGGAAGCTGAAGGTTACACAGGGTAGACATGACCTGCAGGCATAAGCTGTGTCAGATCAGAGGAATGGAGATGTGTGGAAAAGGGGGAGAAACAGGACAAGTTTTGCTAGAAGGAGCAGAACTGATGGTAAAGTAGAACCAATAGCTTTAAAAAATAAGAATTGTCCTCACAGAGATGTGGTAGGCAACTACAAACAAGCAGGGACATGTAGTATGCAAAACGAACCATTGGGGGATAGTGAATATAAAAATATTTCCCAAAGTGTTAGTTTTAAAAATACAATGACTTACAACAGAAAGGATAAGACTAAAACACTAACTACTGGCATGATGATAAAGAAGAGATAGTAGACAATAGGGAGGAGATAGGGAAACAAATGAGGGTCAGGGGAGAGAAAGAGAAAGAAGGTGAAAAATTACACACACACACACACACACACACACATACACGGGCCAACTCTACAAATCAAATGCAATTATTTCCATTGCACACATACACCAATAAAACATTACTTAGCTGGAAATGTGGTTGGGAAAGACAGATGTCAAAAATACAAAACTATGCAAAATAAAAAGTGTAAGAACTCTGGGCACAAATGAATACACATTTGGCCGGGGATATAGATCAGTGGTACAAGCACCTGTGTGGCAAGAGCAAGGTCCAGAGTTCGATGCCCGTTACCAAAAAAAAAAAAAAAAAAACTAATAAATACACATTAGAATGGCACTCACTAACAGTTGCTCAAGCATCTGTGCACACGCATGTACTACTCCCACCACAACTTCTGTGATCCTGAACAGCAGAATCCATGTGCTTGGCTACAGGAAATGGAGCTCGGGCATCATGGTGGCCTTGGGCTGAGTAAGGAAGATAATACATTTGGAGATTCTCATGCAAACAATGCCCATACGTTCCTTTCCCCTCCCTTTGCTCCTCAGGATGCCACAGAGCAGGATGAGCTGTGTGACAGGATGTTCATTCCTAGGCCTGTGGGGACAGAGACAATGAAACAAAAAGTTTGACAGCAGGGTGGAGAGGGAGGCAGGAGGAACATTTCAGCCACATTTGAAAACTGCGGGCTAAGGACGGAGTAGGGGAACCCAGCTACTGAGGGAGGCAGAGGGAGAGAGAGACAGACACAGGCACCAGCCGACATGTACACGCCCGACACAGGGAATGGCCGAGCTCAGCAAAGAGGAACAGAGAGGAGAAGGAACCCAGGCAGGGAGAGTGAGGAGTGATGCAGAGCTCAGGGAGAGAGGCTGAGACCTCAGGTCTGGGTGGGACACATGGGGCACGGGAGTCGCAGAACTCACCACTGGTGGGTTGAGCATCCTCAGGCACATGTCCAGCCAGGCTTTCCCACACTGGGAACTGGGACACAGAGGCAGGGTGCTGTAGTGCAGCAGGCTTCCATCCATACTCCCTCAGGTAGCCATGCTGGAACTTATAAATGTGCCCAGTTCAGGAGCAGTCAGAGAAAGGAGAAGCCCCTGCCTCTCTTCTTTCTCCCCTGATGGCCAGACAAGGGCCTGCCAACAGCTGTCCTGCTCCCCACCATATTTCCCTTTGCTCCCTCTTGGGCCCCCTGGGTGCATCAAGACAGCCTGCCTCTGTGTCCTGCTGTCAATTCTAAGGTTACTTCGTAGCTACTCTCTTGGCTGCCTGACATGAGGTGCCACTTGGTTGTCACCCACAGTGCCACTCTTCCGCTCCCACCTCCCCACATGTGCCTGCCACCGCTGAAGTAGTGGTCAGGAAACCGCCTCTAGTGTGGAAGAACTCAGTGGGCTCAGGCCCGTTATCCCCAGTCTTCAATAAGTTGAGCACACAACTAGCCCTCCTGCATGTTGAACAGTATTGGCCTGGCCGTACTTCTGGAGACATGGCAGCTGTGAACCCAGCTGCAGCAGCTGCCCTTGATGTAACCTGGAACTGCCACAATGACAGCCGCAATGACTGTGCATGCCCTGAACCAGTCCAGCAGGTATCTCCTCTGACCACCTTAGCCTTGAATTTAAACTTAGCAGTAAAACTGAATTGGGACTAATAGGTGATCTCAGATCAGGGTCTTCAACGTGGACCAATTTGGACCAATCAACAAGCCCAAACTTGGGCCACTCACCCACCGCAATTTGGACAAATTGGTAGGCCTCAATTACAGCAATCAGCTGAATCTAACCTACACCAATCATAACCCTCAATTTCAACCAATCAGCAAGCCCAAGTTTGGACCAATCACAAGCCTGCTGCAGCTATTTCAGTAACGCTGGCCTCTCACTTTTGAGGTTTATTTGGAGGGCTCCTTTCTCTGCCCAGAACCTGTCGTGGTGCAGGACATGTCTTCTCCACATAAAGCTTGGCCTGGCCATCCTGTCAATGCACTCAGGATTCTTACCCCAACAACTGTGGACACAGGGCTTCCTTTAAAAAAGCTATAAATGTTTGTGTCTATTAGCCCAGAAAAGCTGCAAGACCAGTAGACAAGGAAGAGCAATGACAGAACTAGATGACAGAGATTGGGTGACAGAGATTGGTGACCAGAGGGGCTGGCTGGCACTGACCAGCAGCAGCCAGCATTGGCTGTAACCAGAGGGGCTGCAGGCATTGATGAGCAGCACTAGTAACCGACAGCCTTGGGTTCACAGCTGTACACTAAGTGCTGACAGCAGCATGGCCAGCAGAGCTGCACCTTGCCAAAGCAGGGTATCTATGTAAATAGAGCCAAAGCACTCTCAGCTGACTGGGGAAGCCATGACCCAAAGATGAGAATCCCGCCAGGCCCCAGATCCCTCCCTGAGAGCTGTCTCTGCCATTCTGAGGTCCCTGGGATTCACGTTTCCCTCCAACCCTCAGAGAACTAGTCTCCCCGCACATTCTCCAGCTGCCCCTCAAACCCTTTGGCTCCTTGCTGTGCTCCATGTGGCTCAAGTGGCCTGCACTGTCCGTCCAGCTGGGCTCTCACTGTCTCTGGTGGGTGTTACTGTGTGGTGGCCTGTGCAGCTTTTCCTTCTCTCTCTGGTCTTCATGGGCAGAGCACCGAGTGAACTCTCCTCCTCGGCACAACTCAGATCTGCAGCTTAGGACGCTCCCTCTATTGTGTTTACATGCATTGGTTCATTCACGGACTCAGAACCTCACCAGTAGCTCATTTATTCCCTTCTCTCCCCATAATCTGCTCTTTTCTCTATCCCCAAAGACAGCCTTTCCAGTGTGTTTGATGCACATCTTTCCCCCGACTGTGTGCTTCCTCCATGAGAATTTGTGGGCATGTAGTTTTCCTCAGTGTGTCTCTTCCTGTGGAACGCTGGGGCTTTGCGCACCACATCCCTTCCTGAAATGACCCTTTTGTGTTCCCATACATCTGCTAAGTCAAGGGAGTGCGGTAGGCAGAGAGCAGTTTTTGGGTGAAGGTTAAATTGGGGACACCATGACCAAGAGCACACCACTCGTGGACTCACTGAGTGATGCTGTTGCAGAGTTGGCCTCATTCAGGAATCTTCCTAAGTGAGTACACACCTGCTGTGGCACTGTATGCCTCCTGTGGGATTTGTCAGCTGTGCTGGGGCTCAGTATGCACACCCTAAAGAGCCTTTCCAAGTGGAGCTATTGTTGACCGCTTGCCCAGGTGGAATTTGCATGATTGTGTCTCTTCAATACACATCCCAGCCATGGGACTTGGCCTGTTGGAAACAACTCTCACAGGATTTTTGCCTAGAAATGCTGTTATGGTTTATGTCTAGATGTCCCCCTAAAGCCTCATGCAGTCACAGGCCAGGCTTCTAGACTTTGTGATTGATTTATATTCACAAACTGGGACTGATACAAGTGAGTTCGTGCAGAAAGGCACTCAAGAAATCAGAAAAGACATTAATGAACAAATCTTTATTTGAGCCAGATGACACACAGTCTCTAACCAGGAGCCAGAGAAGATGTCCAACCTGACCTGGGTCTCACCATCACTTGAAGTACATTTTAATTTTCCATACTAACCATTACCTCATTTAGAGGAATCTAATAAGAATATCACAATTCTCTCAAAGTTTACTTCTCCCAGAAAGTCAGACAGCGAAATTCCAGATGGTCATGGCAGTTTAATTTTTAGCCCACATCCTTAATTGTCCTGTTTGTTGTGTTCCCATCTCATAACACAGCTATCCTTCAAATGGGTTGATTACTAACCAAAGCACAGAGCTGAAAAGTAGGGGTCAGCTATAGCATAAGTGACTTCTCTTAACATGGAATTATAAACAGCAAATGGAGCCTCCCGTATCCTAATAGGATGATGGGGGTGAGTGCTGTACCCACTCTGGCAAGAGGATCCTGCTTACAATATAAGGGAGGGCAAGAGGCATGCTCTTGCTCCTCCCTTTTGCTCTGGTTGCTTTGCTGTTTCCCACTGCCATGAACTCTTGCTCTATGCTATATGGCACTCTGCCCCAGAGCCAGCTGAGCATGGACTGAAACTTCCACAACCTGTAAGGTAAATACATTCTTTCTTTGTTAAATCTGGGAATCAGGTGTTCTGTCTCAGCAACAAGAGAAAAATAACCAAGATAAATGCTACTGAACATATGCCTCCTACTTGTGAGCCATAGAAACTTGCAATTAACTCTTGTCCTGTCCTTTCATTGCCCTAATAAATCTTACCTCTCACAGGCTGTCTCTGGGTGTTTTCCAGTCTCTCAGCAACCTACTCCAGTGTCCCAGAACTCAGTGTTGTCTATTGCGTTCTGTGTTCATACTTCTCACAAGGGCTTGGTGTATGGGCACAACTGTTGGGTGATGCAGGATTGGGCTTCCAGCTCCTGCTCAGTGCTGTAGGACAGCATCTCCAATGTGTCATTCTCCACAGACCCCAGGGACCCATCCCAGCTGCATGTCTGTACCAGACATTCTGCAGGCAGTTCATTCCCTCTGTGTGTCCCCCTAGAACCTTGTAGAATCTGAAGGAGAAGATGTCTGCATGATTTAGACACAAAAGATTTCTCTCTTTATTGCCAAAAGTCCCCTAAAGAGGACACCACTCCTCAAAGTTGAGAAGCACTGGTCCATATCTTTAGCTGCCCTTTTGTGCTGCTGTCTACTCTGACCTGAACTTCAGGACCTCGATCAACAGGGCAGGATCTCTAACAATGCTCAGGGGTGTGATGGCCTTTCATGTCTACTCCCACCCATCTAGACGAATGGCACCAGAACTGACATCTACTCAACACTGATGGTGGCAGCAGGCAGGCCAGGAAATTCAGGGGTTCACTGCCATCATGTCCCAGATCCAATTCATGTAGGGCTTCAGTTTGAAGATTTCAGGTGCATTGTAGAGGCCAGAGCAGGGGTGCCCCCATGTCCCTAGTCCATGGAGGACATCACTGTAGACCAGTGCACCCCAGAGTTACCCTGGAAGGAGACAGCATGAAAAAGCCAGTGGGCCTGTGTTCTACCTTCAAGCTCAGCTCTCCCACTAGGAACTCCAGCACACCCAGATTCCTAAAGAGGAGAGTGGCTGGTGTCCTGGCTGGAGGAAGGCAGGGAAGAGCTCAGTTCCTGCACAGGGGCCAGGAGCACAGGGCCTCACACAGGTCAGCGAGAGGAGCAGCTACAGGACCCTCACCCAGCAGGGCAGCCTATCACAGGCCCTCATGGCCCCAGGACCCCACAGTCTGATCCCCAGACAGGCAATAGAGAATGGCTATGAACTGTGAATCAGGCCCTGCACCAGCGACAGCTCCAGGTCAGCAGATGAAAAGTGTAGTCCAGTGGTCCTGCTGAGGCTCTGCAGGACAGGACCCTGGGCCCAGGCCTGCCCTTTGGCCCCTCCTCCAACCACACAGCCCTCTCTGCCCTCACAACCTCCAGGCCCTCACCAGGGGCCTCAGCACCTGCCCTGCCCTCTGCTCTCCCTAGGTGCCACAGGATCACCTCCCTGTTTCTTGTGCTGTATCATCTCACGGCACCCAATGTCCCCAAACCCCATCTCTCCTCGCTGGCCCTAGCAGAGCACAGCCACCTCCTGATCTCCCCATCACTTCTACGTTAGTTTCCTATTTCTGCCTCACTCTATTGCAAGAAACTAGACACAACCTAATAACCAATATAAAATTTCATATGTATAAAATTCTAGAACAGGTAAAAAAAAAAAACTAGTGTTGCCTAGTTGCAGGGATGGGGTGAGGGTAGGACGAGTAGTTATAGAAATAGCTGGGAAGGGATATGAGGGAAATTTCCGGGCTGATTAGGATTTTCTAGAACTTCACAGGAAAGCTGATGTAGGTATTTGTCAAAATGTGTTGAATTATATGCTTGAAACCCGTACTGTGTACTCTTCAACACAAATTATACCTTAGTTTAGCAACCACACACAGCATTTAGAAAAATGAAATTCTACGCAACCATGGTGCAGCAAGCTTGCAATCTCAGCACTCGGGAGGCTGAGGTAGGAGAATAGTTGCAAGTTCAAAACCAGCCTGGGCTGCAAAGTGAGTGCAAGAGCAGCCTCATCTGCATAGCGAGACCCTGTCTCAAATGGAAAAAGAAAGAACCTCTGTTAAGACTTGTAATGAAACAAGTTGCAACAAAATTCAAAGTTATAGTAGAGGGGCTGGGGATTTAGCTCAGCGGCAAAGCGCCTGCCTGGCAAGCGCAAGGTCGTGAGTTCAGTTCCCGGTACCGGAGAAAAACAAACAAACAAACAAAAAAAAAACAAAGTTATAGTAGAGAGAGTAGGTTTCTGACCACAGTGTAATCGAGCTGGAAAATATGACAAAATGAAACCCAGGATATCGTAAATGTGTGCTTTAACTTTAAAGAAACACTTCTAAAGAATGCACATTTCAAATGAAAAATACAATGGAAATGAGAAAATATTTTGAAGCAAAGGTTCAAGAAAACACAGCATGTTTTTATTTTATGTAACTGCTATAGTGTTTGGAGAGAAACACACGACCATCAGCATATATAATAGAAAAGAAAAGCAGTGGTGAATTCAATTCTGGTTCCATCCTCTAGATGTAAGAAGAATAACAGCAAAATAAACTCCAAAACGAGAAGGAATAAAATGTTAAAGAGAAAATTTAATGGCATAGGAAACAGATGTGTACTGGAAAATCTTGCCAATGCCAAAAGTTCTCTCACTAGTGGATTCGTATGGTTAGGAAGCCCCCAAGTATACTAAGTGAGAATGATAAAGAACAAATGAAGGAAGACTCAGAGAACCAGGAGTGCTGGGGTTTAGGTTCTCAATGTCTCTCAAAAGCCTCAGCATTC